GCGCGAATTAAAAATTAAAGTATATGCAATTTACTTTAATTTACTTTTCTAAATGAATAGAGTTATAAGATAGAAAATATCACTGTTGTTATCTTCAAGATATTTGAAAATTGAATCGTTTATAGCAAAATTTAAAACAATGGCTAGCTTTTAACCAATCAGAAAATTCCATTTCGACTTTCACTGATATCGCTGGAACGGTTTATCGCAGAATGTCGACAGAAACCTTCCTCGTGCTTTGAACTATCTGTATGCCAAGTTTCATAGCTTTCTGTCGGATGGTTTAGGAGTCTATAGAGGACAGACAGACACACATTCACTTTTATATATATAGATATAGCTACAACGCTTAAGAAAAAAAAACTAAAATGCTAAATACATGAAAAGAACACGAAAACGAATTAATTTTTTATGGTATCAATTTCCATTTCTATATAATTTTTTTTGGTATCAATTTCCATTTCTATATCGCTACAAAAATTATCGTCTTCGCTTAAGAAAAAAAAATAGAGCCTGGAAAGAAGAAGAAAAACTTATTATAACAATTATGAACAGCGACAAATATAACAAAGCGAAGCGTTCTATTTACGTATCGAACATGTTGCCACATTTTTAATAAAAAGTTAAACTTTTCTCCCCTTTGATAAATGTAAACTAATGCGAACCTTACAATTAAATTATTAATTCCTTCGTATATGATTGGTTTAAGTTGTCGAAAATTAATATTTAAATTGTAAGGTTCGCATTAGCATACATTTATAAGGGTGGAGAAAAGTATATGCATTCTTTAATAGCTTTTTGAATACGGCTCTTTGAAGACGAAAAAGCATAGATTTTCTCACAAAATGACTGATAACTAAAAAACCAATCCAAATTTTTGAAAAAAGAAAAAAAAATACTTCTTCATTATGTCAAAACACAATTATGTGCCGAGTTTCGTGCCTGGGCGAGGCTTCTGGGGCGATATATTGTGATTACAGATACACAGCCGCGTTTATTATTATGTATAGATATCGTCTAATTTAACCCATTGATAGACGAATGTAAACAAATGCAAACAATCGGGTAAAAACAATAAAGCTGTTTATCACGTGATAATTAAGATTTTACATAGAATCTTATAATGAGTCTAATAATTTGGTCAAGGACAGTATTTGTGTGTTACTTACCAAAATAAGTTGTGTGTGAAAGTTTCAGTTAATAGACAAATAAAATCTTTCCGTTGTCAGAGAGTGGAATAATAATCTTAGAAATTCTTCCCCATATTTAAACACAGTATAATTCTGATTCTTATATTTTCGTTTTGTATTCTGACTCATATATTTTAGCTTTTGAAATAAAATAAAAAAAATAATCATACCAATGGCACAGCATCCTAGGGCAATGACAAAAGCAAGAAGATATCCTCTTCTGGGTTCATTATTTTTTCCATACCCTTTAGCGAAAAAGTGTATGCCTGGAAATAATTTATCCTTGCACAAAGCCTAGAAATATTTTTCAATTTAAAATAATTAAAAAATGAAAATTAAATTGCTTCAAAAAATGAATGAAGTAATAAAATGTAAAAAAAAAAATCTTTAATTATCAAAGTCAAAGATTTTATTCTTTGTTTAACTGTTCTTTTTTAAAACCCCTAATTGAAATGAAGCATTTTATTTATTTAAAAAATGAAAGCTATTTTTTAAAAATAAATTTATTTTTTTCTCACTTTATATATTTGAACTCTAGCTAGTTCTTTGTCTAAAATTATTGCGTTTTTATTGTCTAAAATTATTGTAACAACAATTGCGCATAGTACAAGTTAGAATTATTGTTCATACTCTAACTTGTACTGTGAGTAAAAAAAAAGATTTTTAAAGTCAATACCTACTTAAGTGAACAAAGAAAAACTTTATTTTAGTTACTTTTTATTAAATAATTAAAATTTTTTGTCCCGTATAAAACTAAATTTAATTTATTAAATTTAATGAATGAATTAATAATTGAAATTTCTGCTGCTTTGTAGCGCGTTTTTTTCAAAGAAGTTTTATCTATTTAGAATTAAAAATATTTGTATTTAAAATTTATTTGTATTTAAATTTATTTGTATTTAAATTTATTTGTAAATTTAATTTGTAAATTTATTTGTGTTTTATTTGTATTTTATTGTATTTAAAAATATTTGCTTTTATTATTGAATTTATCCGATACAGAGAATATAAAATAAATATTTAATTTCGCTCAAGTCTCGTATTTTGCCATATTAAATTACATTCTTTAAAATGATGCAAAAATTTGTGTACTGTAATGATGTAAAAATTTGAGTGTAAAATTAGTGAGCAGTTCAAACACTGCTCACTAATGCCCGTGTTTGCTTTTTACTCATCATTGCTTCTTTTTTTTTTCTTTTTTTGAAGTCTATAAACTTTTTCTTTTAGAGATCTTTTCAAAATGCGTAATTATTAAAATTTTATGTCGGCGCATTTTATTAATAAAAATAATCAACTGTATTCGAAAACAAAAGTTAATTAAGCGAATACGAAAACGAGAAAGTAATTAAACGAAATCTGGTATAAAAATGTACTTCTTCCGAATCAACATAAAATTGATCAATTCAGAATAAACAATTGAAAGTCAGAACAAGCAATGCTAAACGTTCAAATATTTCAACACATTTAATGTTAGTTCAATCATCAAATCCTTAAGATTTCCCTTTAGTATGTAAAAATCTAATCATTATGATGATTAGATCATAAGTTATTATGATTTTATTGTTGGGCACTGTTCTGGTTATTTGAATTCAATTATAGAAATCCTAAATCTGTGTAATTTGTCCAATTGCCTCAGTTATTGGAAGAGACATTTGGAACATATAAGATTGAATTTGATCCATTGAATTCTCGAATCATTGCTCTCTGCCCTTTGAATTACTATATGGGGCTTCAGAAATTCTGATTTGTATTCAGCTGAAAGACCTTCGAAAATCTTTCTTCTCATTTATGTCAACTACTGGCAGTAATAGTTGATATTAAAGGATTCAAAAATGCGAAATATGAAACTCTTTTTCCCCCTCCTAATCTGAGTTAAGCAGAATTGTTTGGAATTATTGCAGTTACCTTGTACTGAGCTAACGAAATATCAAACCCATTTTTATTTCGATATCTGAATTACGAAGAATGTAATAGTAATATTAGTACATTATTTACGTCGCACTAGAGCTGCCCAAATTGACGACAGTCTGGGAAACATCTGAAGACATGCAATCGCCATTTTGATCCTTTGCAGACGATTTTGGTAGACTGACTATCTACGTGTGAAGTCGAGTACTAGTAGATTATCTTTATTTGAATCACTGATATTTATTTGATCACTGATATTTGAATCACTGATTTGCATCAATTTTAATCCTCTGCAGACGGAATGGCTCCATTTTGGTAGACCGACTAAATGCGCACGAAGTCGAGCACTTTGCGATAGAACCGTTTAATGAGAACCGATACCCTTCCAAGGCTGGGTCCCTTCGCAAGCTGATGAAATTGGTCACCTATCTGCTCACTGACGGCTGATATTTATGCTTGACTTGAGTGATCTACTGGGTAATTATTTTATATTATTTTATATCCGTCATTAAACAGCCTACACATTTTTTGGTTTACGACTACCAATGCTCAACTCCGTAGTCTTTTAATTTTGAACCCAATTCAGGAGACAGGAAAAATTTTGGATCAGTACCCCCAGAGGTATTGATTTGTAATGGAAAATGGAGGACTTTGTGACTCGATAGATTAAACATGCATCAGTCACGCATCATGCATTAGTCAAGACGTGCATCAGTCACTACTCGGGGAGTCTTCGGTCAACGGAGATCAAATTCGCGAACTCTTGGACATGGGCTTAGTGCCCTAGAAACTAGGTTATCCTTGCCCTGGGTAATTATTATTTTTATTTTATAACCGTCGTTGAACAGCCGACCCAATTTTTTATGGGTTTACAACTACTAATGTTCAACTCCGTAGCCTTGTCATTTTGAACGCAATCCAGAAGACAAGGGAACTTCCTGGATCGAGTATTGGGAGAAATTTTCCTTCGTGGGGGACTTTTTGATGGAGCCAACCCACATTTGCGTTTCATGGAGAAGAAGACCGTGAGAACCTCCCATGGTTAGCCTGACGGCAAAAGGACTCTAACCAATGATCCATCTACCACTGGGAATATTTCTCATTAGCACTGTGTTCGGTGCAAGCCGGATGCGGAATTCGTATCGACTGGGATTCGAACCTGGTTCGTCGCATTTGAAGGCGAACGCTTTATCCCATGAGCCATCGCGGCTCTGGGTAATAATTTTTTATGAGTAGATTTTTTTTTATGAGTAGTAGTACTTTTTTTTATGAGTAGATTGATTTGAAAATCCTAACTAGTAGATTATCGTTGTTTGAATCATTGATAACTGGAATTTAAAGAGGCGAGCAAAAATTTCAATTTCGGTTCACCGCTATTTGAGCTATTCAGAACTTTCGTTCTCCGTTATGGCAATTTATGTATATTTCCACTAAACGCTTTTTTTTAATTTTTATTTGTTTTACGGATATGATAAATTTTTTTGAAAATATTTTTTTCCATTTATACCTGAAATATTTTTGGAGCGCTGACAAGACTGGCCAAAGCAGATGAAAGAGTAGCAGCAAATATTCCAGCGTATATTATGGGTGAAAAAGCTGACACCATCTCCATTACCTGGAATATACACAAAGCTGATTATTAGATCGATTTGTAATAGTACTCTGAAACATAATTCTAAGTGAAAAAGAAAAAAATAATTATAGGATGAATATGTAAAAAGCAAAATGGGGGCAAAACTTCAAAATGGAACGTTGCTCTTATTCGTGAAACTGCAATAACAGTAAGTTCCATCATTTTAAGTACGCAAAATGGTGCAAAATCTTTCTGTAAGAACACGTATCTAACATTAATTTCACGTGTCAGTTGTTCGACAGTACTGCTGATTAGAATTTTATACTCTTTGTAAATTTAATATGCTTCTCAAGGTTACGCGATTTTAGCTCTCTCAATACTTTTCATCTCATTGTTACCATAGTTTCGACATATTTTGCTTTTCACCCACGGCAGTGCGTTTTAGTACGAATTTGGAGTATACTGGCGTGAGGAAAAATAAAATTTACTGGAACCATGATAACGGAGGGAGGGAAAATGTTGAGACTGGGGAAATCATAATGAGACATTGATCTCATTATGATTATATCTGCTGATGATTTCATGATTATAACTGTTACCGTCAAAGCATGAAATGCAGGCTTTCTCTAGAATGCCTGACCTTTTCAAATTATGAAGTATGAGAATTGTTATGTAGTCATTTTATAAAATATATGGATATTTTTATTATTCAGAATGACTGAAGATTTTTCTTTAGTTGTTCTCTAAAACGATAAGGTAACGCGTAAAATTTTAATTTTATAATTTGCCGATCGACTTTAGGCATTCCACGCTACAACTATCAGTATAGTCTATATAGTACCAAATTTAGTGTATTCACATTCACGGTAATGCTACCATTATATGAAATATTTCAATTTTTATTAGGTGGTAATAAGCATGTCCATAATAACAGCAAAGCAAAACAGTTTTTCACAAAGATATTTTGTGCTTATTCATTCAGTAAGAGAATATTTATGTTTTTTTTTGTTGTTGTTTTTGTTTTTTAAGTTAAAAATTTAATTAGGCTTTTATTTTTGCAAGGAGTACAGAAATTATGGGAGTGTAAATTTCTAATATTTTGACTGCGTTAAGGTTGACAAACAGAAGAATATTTTAGCATAAAACTCAATGTCAACTCCTTCAATACTAGACTAAGATGAACTTGATTGTCCTATTATGCTTTTTTTCTTATCTTACCTGTCAAACTCAAGAGTCGGAAGTGGGGTCAGAGGCTAATGTGGACAGTAACATTGCTAAGAAGAAAGAAAAAATATTGACTCCTTGTGAAGTTTGTAAAACACTGACTAAGTCTTTTGAGAAAGGTATAGTACGCACTTCAAGGGGAGCATTTGGAGGTGGTGATGCATTCTGGGAAGAAAGCAGGCAGAAACCGTATGCTGACAGCGAAGTACGTTTGATAGAAATTCAAGAAAACCTCTGTTCAAACGATGAATATTCTTTAAAGTGCCACCATCTGGCAGAAGAATGTGAATCCCTTATCGAAAAATGGTGGTTTCAGAAAAGATATACCTTTCCTAATATCACTCATTATCTTTGCTTCGATAAACTTAAAGTATGTTCACCTCAAAACTAACTATACAGTATTTGTGGGTACTTTTGTGTTATAACGGGTGATCGTTTCAAATTAATGAGTGGATTTGTACATGTAGCATTATTGACTTTTTAGCCGTTGCAGGTACATCTTAATTTGGATGTAATAAAATGATAATTGTCTTTGAGAAATGAATTAAGAAACGCTGTTCTGTGGCGATTATAAACAATATACATCCATTTTCTGGTCTACTTTGTTTAAGGCTATTTTTGTTCTTTCTTTTTTAACTAAGTACTGATGGCCTTTTTACTTTCTCTATTTTTGTTCCTACAAAATATAAATTGATGGTAAATGACTAGCACAGACAGCTTCAATTTTTCTGAATTGTTGAAAGCAGAGTTCTTTACAGAATAGCCGTAGATTTGCTCCAATGAGCGTTTGTCTTTCTCGGGATCAGACATATGGAATCGAACGTAGATGAATTGTGCTTCGCATTTAACAGCACATTTTACAATGTGGCAGACAGCACATTTTAAGCTCCAACGAGCGGATTTTTCTGCCAGGGCGAGTACTAACATTATTTATTTAGTATGGAAAGATTTACACTAGTGTTGTTTCTAAATATGCCAAAGTTTGAATTTTACAAATCATTACCAAAAGCTAGTGTCCCAAATTTAATATCTCATGCTCAGAAAATCAGTGCTATGTTTGCTTTATCCTATATATGTGAACAAGTGTTTTCAACTATGAACCTTTAAAAAAATCATTTCAGAAGTAGACCAACAGACGAACATTTGACCTCGTTCCTTAAAATATGTACATTTCACTTGGAACCTTAATATAAGGAACTTTTAAAAAACGCAATTTCATTCATCTCATTAAATATTTAAATCAATGTTTGTATTTCATTTTTTATTTTGGAATTTTTTACTTAGCCCACCAAACTTTCCTTTCACGATTTTTTACTCTCGACCAAAAAAGTTAGCCCATCCCTAGACTAACCCATTAGTGTGAAAAGGCTAATACTTGCCTGGTAATCGTAAAGAAGACCGTATTCGCACTTCATATCCTCCGTCAGAGTGCAGTTCGATAAGAGATGAAGACTACCATTGGTGACGAGTTCTGTGAGGCCGTTGGATTGCAGCAATACGGTGCTCCCAGCCACAACTACGAACAGAATGTAAGACAACGTTGTTATGAGGATTGCCAGAAGAGTTCCTTTCGGAATCGCCGTTTGAGGATCCTGAAATGTAAGAACTGTCAGCGATTAAACTCTCTTATCAAAAATAAACCCCCGTCCAAACTATAAAAGTGTGTTCGGCTAATGCATATGGGAGTATCACGGACGACAGTGACGCGATACTGAAAAATACGGAAAACTATTATATCGTAATCATTATCAGTGACTATTTATTGAATACGATAAGATAATATCGTGGTTTAATAACGATCACATAACTTATAGAAGGATTAGTTTAACGAATATTATTCATTACGATAATTGTTGAATACAATATTGTGAGTACTGATAAATTTTGTTCGGTCAATGAAAATTTTCGCGACCGTCAAGATAATATGAATTAAATGAATTGGAAAATTTCAATATATATGTTAAATATCGATATTTTCTTACAATGTATCACGATATTATAAGTATCGGTTATAAGGACCCATGTTCATGTTGGCATGGAAATAATTCTAGAAAGCTATCGCCAACATACCTTTAATATAGCCGATAAGCAAAATAAAGAGGCAATAAAATTATTAGATATTAACGAAATTCTTACCCTGAACAAAAGTTACACAGCTCCACTTATGATCAATTTGAGACACAGAGTCTTAGGTATATTTTATTTTTATTTTATAACCGTCGTTGAACAGCCGACCCAATTTCATGGGTTTACGACTACTTACGTTCGACTCCGTAGCCTCGTAATTTTGAACCAATCCAGAAGACAAGGAAACTCCTGGATCAGTACCCCCAGAGGCATTGATTTGTTTAGGGAACATGGAGCACTTAGCAACCCGACAGATTTAACGTGCATCAGTCGCCATTTACTACACGGGGAGTCTTCGGCCGGTGGGGATTGAGCCCACGAACTCTTGGCCATAGGCCCAGTGCCCTACTAATAGGGCTAGCTTTGTCTCAAGACATACGATAGACAGATTCCCATACTTTTGCATAAGCATAATGACATCATCTCAAAGGCGTCTACTGTTTTGCCTTATCTGCTTTTAGTGCCCTCTGCTTGACAACAAAAACAAGATGACGGCGGAGAAGTTTTTTGAGTTTATATGAATAAGTAAGTGAAGTTTAACTCCACTTTCTTAATATGTGAAATTGGAATTGGCCAAACATTCAAACGAGCATGCGTGCAACGAACAGTTGTAGGCGGAGAGATGCCTTGGAGATCAATGCTTCATGTTTTCGCGACCAACGGCAAGATTAACTAAAAGGTGATGTGACCAGTATTGCGCATAATGTCACCTTTATTTCTAAGGAAAAATGATACCCATTTTATTTTATATTATATCCGTCGTTGAACAGCCGATCCAGTTTTGGGTTTACGACTACTAATGTTCAATTCCGCAGACTTGTACTTTTGAACCCATCCAGAAGACAAGGAAATTCCTGGATCAGTACCACCAGAGGTATTGATTTGTTATGGGAACATGGAGGACTTTGCGACTTGACAGATTTAAAGTACTTCATTAACCATTTACTGCAAGGGGAGTCTACGGTCGGCGGAGATCGAACCCACGAAACATTTTTCTAAGAAATATGTCTTCCGAACAAATATGGTTTTTCGTATGCAAGAAAATAGGAAAAGAGACTTAGTGGATGGTTTTTAATGGGATACTTGCAAGTGACGAAGTGTGGGTATCTCGATCCTGATTGGCTGTTGAAACGTGACATTTGTTTAACTTAGCAACTGTTTTTTTTTTCTATTTTATTTCGAATAAGCCAAACCAGTCTTGTATTAATTCTCTTGGTGACACATTTTATATTCTTTCTCAAAAATTTCAATTCTTTCGCTTTATATTTCGAACTTAACACGAAGACCGGCCTGAGGACATGTTGAACATAATAAACTAATTATGTATCGAAGTTGCCAGGTATTCAAAACAAATGTATATCACTGATGCAATAAATTACATAAGCGCATAATAAATCTAAGTTGAATAATGCAAACGAGAAAAAGATGCAGACGAGAAAGAATGATATTTATACATATTCGATGTTCGATTAACTTCACTTTAATTAACATTTCAACTTATGTGGAGAAGTTTAGCTTAACTTTAACACGCCATTGGCGTATCTCCAAGAGGTCGTGGGTTCGATCCCTGCCTGCCGAAAACTCCTCGTGTAGTGAATGATGACTGATGCAAGTTAAATCTGTCTAGTCACAAAATCCTCCATTTTCCCATAACAAAACATGCATCTAGGAGTAATGGTCCAGGAGTTTCCTTGTCTTCTGGTCGTTGTTGTTGTTCATTTACACCGTACTAGAGCTGCGCAATGGGCAATTGGCGACGGTCTGGGAAACATTCCTGAGGATGATCCGATGATCACAATTTTGATACTCTGCAGAGGGGATGGTTCCCCCGCTTCGGTAGCCTAACGACCTACACGCGAAGTCAAACACTTAACAAGGAATGGTTTAACGAGAACCCATACCGCACACCCTATATCCCTACGCAGACTGGTCACCTACCCACACACTTACCCCAACCAGTGATGCTTGACTTCGGTGAACCTGTTAGACTTCTACTAAATTTTTCTATTTACTCATTATCATTTTTTCCCGATTAACATTCCCAGCTATTTTAATTCGATCGGAGGTGCGTGCCTTAATTGCACAGGAACTCCGTTGCTACAAAGCAACACCCCTCCCCCTTGACATCGGTGATCTGCTGGGAACCGTGAATTAACGATGAGTCCACTGTGGGGCCCTTGTCTTCTGGATTGAGTTCAAAAATTACAATGCTACGGAGTTGAACATTAGCAGTCGTAAACCCAAAAATTGGGTCGGCTGTTCAACGATACAATGACAAATAAAATAAAAACGATCAGCTGGCTCTGACGTCATAGGTCACATGTTTGGGTATATGTTGGTTAGATTGATGTTCTCCTTCTTGAAGTGCAAGTAACCAATTGAAAATAATTCAAGCGATTTTAAGTGATTCATGATTAAAGTATGAAAGAACATGTTTTTGAGAGATTCTAAAATGTAATGTAATGTTTCTTACGCAACTCTTATATGGAATGTTGCATCGTTTCATGGAAGGAATACTCACTTTGAGATCTCCGGAAATGTTGGCTCCAGCAAGGATCCCAGTGGCTGCGGGAAAGAAGACAGAAAAAACAGAGAAGAAACTCTGGTCTGCATCAAAATGAGGGCCTATGTTTTCCATTATCACGCTCACTATCAAGAATAAAAAAGGCCACGCTCAGTATCAAGAGTAAATAAGACACGCTCTCTATCAAGAATAAATAAGGCACGCTCACTATCAAGAATAAAAAAGGCACGCTCACTATCAAGAATAAAAAAGGCAAGCTCACTATCAAGAATAAATAAGGGACGCTCACTATCAAGAATAAATAAGGGACGCTCACTATCAAGAATAAATAAGGGACGCTCACTATCAATAATATTATAAGGCACACTCACTATCAAGAATAAATAAGGCACACTCACTATCAAGAATAAATAAGGGACGCTCGCTATCAAGAATAAATAAGGGCTCATTCACTCTTCATGTAAATTGTAAATGTTGACAATCTGTTGTTGACCGGTGAAAGTTGACAATCACATAGTCACTTTGGCAAATATCCGAAATATATGC